CGCCTTCAAGGGGGGCATGAGCCTAGATCGGCTGCCGGAGGGGCTCCGGCCCCCCCCGCCGCCGCCGCATGACATGGGGCCCGCCTTCCACCTGGCCCGCGCCGCCGACCCCCGCGAGCCGCTCGAGAACTCGGCCAGCGAGTCGTCTGACACGGAGCTGCCAGGTAAGCGCGGTTCCCGCGCGGGGCGCACGGAGCGACCGGGCGCAGGGCACGGGGAGCCGGGAGCGGGGCCTGGAGCCCGCGCCGCACAGCCAGGCTCTCTGTCCGCCCCAGGAGCGTCAGGGGCTCTCTTTTTCCCGTTCTCGACCTGACGATGAACACGGACATTTACACACACACACGAAGGCATTTCCACGCGGTCCCCACGCGCCAAGAGACTGGCAGATGCACGAGCCTACAACCGGAGGATTGGACTGACAGCCGCTCTTGATCAGGAGCAAATAGAACAGGAAGAAAAGTTAGGTTCGTGCGACTGGGTGCTGAGGAGCCGCTCGGAAGACGGGAAAGGAGCAGATCGCGCAGGGAGTGGGGGAGATGGGCGAGGGAAAGTGCCAGAGAGACGGAGAGAGGAGCAGACAACCCTGACAGACAGCGGGCGACAGACTGAGGGAAGAGACCGAAGAGATGGGACGGGCGGGAAGGGCAAACTGGAAGGGGGAAACATCGAGTAAAAGGAAGGCACAGACATGAGACAGCGGGGGCGAGCGGGCCCACGGGCGCGGCGGGACTCCGGGCAGGGCCGGCCGGAACCCTGACCGAGGGATCGCGGCCCCCGTGCGCGGCCGGAGCCCGGAGCTATAGGCTTTGCAGCTCCAGCTGGATTCAGCTAGGGCACGTCTCCCTCCGCGCTGCCCTTTTGTCCGACCCCGAGCTTTTCTCCCCCTCCGCGAGCTGGGCCGGCGGGTGGGCGGCGCGGGTAGCGGCGCAGTGAATCCCCGGCCAGTCCCGGCCCGGTGGTCTCCGCCCGCTCCCGCGCTCGCGGTCCTAACTTGGCGTCGCCGCCGAGCTCCCCGCTCCCCGCTCCCCGGGCTTGGACGCCTCTTCTGAGTTCATTTCTTAATCCACTGCTGAGTGTTTCTCTCCGCGTATCTCATCTCTATTTGCTTCTGTTTTGCATCCCTAAGTGACTTTCTCTGAGAGGTTCTGTTTGCTTGGTTAAAAAACAACGCTGAATTCTACTTTTGCTTTCAAAACTTTTAAGTGGGATCTTCGGTTGGTTTTTATTTTTAAAAACCAGGGAAATGTATAGTTATAGATTGATATATAAAACAGATCCATGAGGATGCGTTGACAGTTTTAGCTGTGTTTTTCGATTTTTAAAGAATATATTAGCTGTGTTTCTCTGGAATTTAAAATATCTACAAGCAACGGTACCCTTCAGGAGATTTTTAAAAGTCGATCCAAAATGGCGCATTTCTCCGGGATTTTCTCAAAATCCATTTACAGTATTATTTGGGGACTTAAAATTATCTAACTATAATGATGTGTTTCTCTGGGATTTAAAAATCATCCCTACAATAGCGTTATTGGGAAGGGGTTAAAATTTATCAAAAACAGTACACTGATTTGTTTCAAAATCCCGGAGAAATAAATGCCTGTCTGCCTGGAGTTTATACACTTACAGCTCTGTACTTAGTTAGAGGTGTGTTTGCACGGAGATTTCTGGCTTCTTAATTTACATTTACTCTGTTTTTTACCTGCCTATTTTTGAGAATTTGTGGCCCTGTGTTTTTAGGCAGAGAGCTGTGGGCTTTTCTGGGCTTCTGTGTTTTGTTTTTAAATTACTTTTCTTTATGTTTCAATGTTTCTATGACTGTATGCGTTTTGTGTAGCTTCAAAGAGAAAGAGGCTAAAGCCTGAGGTCACCTAGACAGATTCTGTCTGTCTAGGCTGCGGTCGGAGGGATTTTCTAGGCCTCGGGACTGCAGGCCTGGAAGTAAGGCCAGGAACCTGTATGTGTAATGCCGGCCAAGTGGGGCTCCCACACAGCTCCGGGGAGAAGAACGTGAGGGGGCTTCAGGCCACCACCTGGCTCTTGCCCCACTGACCTGCTGGCTTCAGGCTGCAAAGATCTGATCCTAGTTCAAACAAGCAGAGATAGACACCCCCCCCCCAAGATTTTGACCCCCAAGAGCCCGGAAAAAAAGCATACATTTGCCGGTGACATCAGCAGCAGAGCCCTATCCTGAGCCGAACTGCAGGAGCAGGCCCTGCCCTGCCAGGAACCCAGGCCCGCGGCTCCAGCTCAAGGCCTCTTCATGGCACGCTAAACCAGAGGTGCCTACTGATGACCAGCACCCAGCGGGCTCTTTACAGTCCCCAGGGCCCCTGGTGGGAGGGAGGGCCACACGCACTGATGGCGGCACTTCGCTGGAGCCGGGACGGGGTGCTACAGGGCGTAAGCCTGAGGTGACCCGCACTCCGTCCTGCCTGCTGCAGAGAAGGAGCGCGGAGGAGAACCCAAGGGGCCCGAGGACAGTGGCGCGGGCGGCGCGGGCTGCGGCGGCGCGGAGGACCCAGCCAAGAAAAAGAAGCAGCGGCGGCAACGCACACACTTCACGAGCCAGCAGTTGCAAGAGCTGGAGGCCACGTTCCAGAGGAACCGCTACCCCGACATGAGCATGAGGGAGGAGATCGCTGTGTGGACCAACCTCACCGAGCCGCGCGTACGGGTGAGCGCGGGGCGCGCGCCTACGGGGACCCGCGCAGAGGGCTGCCGGTCTCAGACGTTCACTCTCCCACCACTCAGACCTGTTCCTTACCTCCGCTGGAGACCCCCACGTTAGGCCCCGGCCCACCCAGCTTCTGCTAGGCCCCTAGGCCACCAGTTCCCTTTGGCTGCTGCCAGCCCCAAACTCCTCTGACCGGCATCTTACCTGACCCTCGGGCTCTACCACAGCCCCAGACCAAAGAGGTATCGTCTTATGGGACTCTCCCATGCCCTGAAAGACCCAGGACCCACTCGGATGTTAGTGGGATACCCTGGGCCAGAGACTGGGCAAAGATTCCCTGCCGCTGGGGACGTCGGGAGCTGCTGGCCTTCCCCGAAAACGAAAGGGAAAGGCAGGTCCTGCCTGGCTGCCTCAGAGAGGCCTGAAAGGTGCCTGGGTTTGGTGCTATCAAAACTTCCTGGAGCAGTGGTCCCATCCTGCTTCTCCAAAATCTCTGAATATTCTCCACCTTCCCTGTCCATTCAGCCAGTCAGTACCTAGACCTTTTGCCTAATGCCCTTTCCTGTAGGTCTCAGGTCGGGGGGGGGGGGGGGGGGGTT